ACCGTTCAATTTGACAACTGACGCAAGCAATGTAGCTTTAGGGGCAGTTCTTAGTCAGGGTCCAATCGGTAGTGATTTGCCTGTAGCTTATGCGTCACGAACCTTAAATGATGCGGAAAGAAATTACAGCACTACTGAAAAAGAGTTGTTAGCTATAGTGTGGGCTACCAAATATTTCAGACCTTACCTCTATGGGCAGACCTTCAATATTATAACAGATCATAAACCCCTCCAGTACCTTTATTCATTAAAGGAAGGCGTCTCCTCAAAATTAATGAGATGGAAAATGAAACTTGACGAATATAATTTCAAAATCATCTATAAAAAAGGCAAACTCAATACAAATGCTGACGCTCTTTCTAGAATCGAAATTCATACTAAGGAAACTAACGATTTTTGGGAACAACTCGATGACTTCCTTGGAGAAGCCTCCAACTATCAGAATCAAAGAATTACCTTTGTAGATCAAAATTTAAACACACCTCCCACGACACAAGCTAATCCAAATTCACCACTGATAATTCAAGATATTAGCTACCCCAATTTAAACCCTGAACTAGACGATATCTCAATGATTGTCAACTTGGACAATGAAACAGATCAACCTGACTGTCAGGAACTTCCTACCGATGACAATACAAATACTGACGAAGATATAATCAATGAAACAGAACAAACTGACTACCACGAACTTCCTTTTGTTATTGACAAAACCAATATTAATGAAAACGAACTTGACAAGGATGATGAAACCCGGCACTCTAATAATCAACACCCGGTTGTTACAATTCCTATATCAGACCAACCATTGAACTTTGGCCAAAATCAGATCGTAATTAAAACGGTCCTGCACTCTCCCGCCAAGCCGAAAATCATAATTTTATTCGAGAGAAAACAGCGGCTATTAGTGCAAATTTCAAAGAACAACCTTGAATCAGATGTTGTAAATTTTGTCAAGGAATATATTGTACCCGATGTCCCATACTATATATATTTCGAAGATCCTGACATATACGAACCCTTCTCAGGCGCTTTACAAAAGTATTTTAAATGGCCCTCTATCAAGTTTAAAAGGTGTCTTGAAAAACTTCTAGACATCACTAGTAATGATGAAATTAAAAGTTTAA